CGGGAAATTTTGTATTTTTAAACCTTCAATGACACATTTGCCCTGCACTTTGAAAGGCAAAATTAGGCGTAACGAAGAATTATTCATTAACGCTTAACGCTGAATTTAGGATGACAAATAACGTTTTACGTTGAATTAAAACGGCCAATAACGCTTCACGAGGAATATACCGATAACGCTTAACGTTGAATTAGAGCGGGCCGGCAACGATTAACGGTGAATTAAAATAGCCCATAACGGTTAACGAAAAAGGGCATGCAGACCCTCAACATAGCCGGCCTGGTTGAATTATCCCCGTTTTTAGAACTGGGCTAATCAGAAAACAACCGAAGACCATCAAACCTCCAGTTCTATAAGCCTGATACGGAGGCTAACTATTCACAGTAACACTATAGTATGAGCTGAAATGTTCTAATTGTACAGAGAAAGAATTCTCCAAACACTGAAGGGAAATACTGTAGGAAGTAGCCCAGTCAACTGGAAAGGTTTCTTCCCCTCACCTGTTCTGCTTTTAAGTAATGAGGTACAATTAGAGCTAAAAGAGTCGCAAATTGATTCTGTTTAAACTCTTATGTATGTACGCTTAGCAGTGTGGACTTGCGATCAGAAAAAAGGGTTGAATTATGTCATAAAGCAGTTCTAAATACTTAGCCTCTACCAGGCTTGGGCTGGAAAGAGTAGAAATCGGATGCGGCAAAATGTTTTCTCTAGTAGACCAACTCCCCAGCATGTTATCTCTCTATTTGACTGATTTCTACTCTTTCCAGCCGCCTCCCGAAGCCTGGTAGAGGATACTAAATATTGATAATGATTTTTGGGTTGGTTTCTTTATCAATCATGCCCAGAAAAGGGAAGATTAAATATTTGTTGCAGGCTTTGAAAAAAAACATGCCTGCATGAAAGAGCTGACAAAGTGTTTGGGAATCTGATCTCCATATTTGCAGGAAAAAAAGTTTGCTGTAACCGAATCAAGCATGCAGATCACCTCAAACAGGTACACATGTACACAGCCCTGTGAACCGTATCTAACTGTCATAACTCTTACACAGTTCAAGTCATGTCAGGAAAAACCTATAAAAGTACTGGTACTAATATTTCTGTCACAACCCCTGCTGAGGTGACAAAACTGGTTTTGTGATGTCCATGCAAGATGAGTCGTATCATATTTATGCCAGGCCATTTTTGAACTGTTTGAAGTTAGGTATAACTTTCCATAGGTCAAGCTATAAAATACCGTCTTTGTGTCGCTTTTACTATCTTCGGCTTGGTTACAAAACTGGTTCCAATTCCATGAAACTTTGAAAGATACAACTGTTCTATATTTAGTCTCAATATTTTGTTCATTACTTACTATAAATTTCCTTGACACCTATGACAGGTGAACCCATAAAAAATAGTCTCTTTTTTATCATAACCGTATAATCTTAGTTATACAAAACTGGTTCCATGTCAGACAAACCTGTTTCTTATCATATTTATTTTTGAATTGTTTGTTCGTTACTATAAAGTTCCTTTCTCAGTCACCTATGACAGGTGAACCCCATAAAAACTAGTCTCTTTGTGTTGTTTTTATCATAACCGTAATCTTCTGGCTTGGTTACAGAACTGGTTCCATGCGAGGCCAGTCTGTATCATGTTTGCAGCAGGCAGTTTTATCTGGGATGCCTGCAGCTATCTCCTCTACCATCAGCTAATCTTGTGCTCACCCCTGGTGAGACAGTTTAGCACCCTCATATCAGCCACGCTGTAGACAGATCAGTCAGGTAAACAGACTTCCAAATATTGAACCGTTCAATGCATAAATAATATACACTTTTGTGCAACCAAACTTGGAGTTGCAAGTAACTTTTGGCTGTAGGAGAAATGTTGCACTCAGATATGTGTGTAAGGTAACTTAGGATGCACATTTGTACAAAGTAACACTGGTGTATACAGCATATTCTTGACAGTTTTCAAAGTGTCATAAAAAAATATTAAAAGCTTTGTTCAATTGTTTAAAATTTTGCTATGGAATCTAAGATTCAAGCTCTGGAGAGAGGCACTAAGGTTTGTTACTAAGATTTTGCCTCAACAGTCTCTATGCTCTGCCTCTGCACCCAAAATTTTTCTGCGCACCTGTTCCTAAAAAAAGTAATTCAGAGTCCAGCAGACTGAGTAAACTTGAAGTTGTGATAAGTCAGAGTCAGACAGGTAAACAGGCACAACAAAGGGCGGAAACGGCAGGTTCGGGGGCCAGAATTTACAAATCCTGCCCGGCTCCTATCTAAAACAAACACCCTGTCTCAGAAAAAATGTGAAGACGGGAACAATTAGTGTAAGATGGAGTTTAAGTAAGTGTGATGTCAGAGAAATGAGGTGCCAGGAACAAAACCCAGCTGCCCAAAAGACAGTCGACGGCTTTCCTAAACCTTAAAATGTTTCTAGGTCAGACAAAAATTACAGATAAGCTTTGGAACAGGTCCGTGTATAGTTATGAGAAAATTACCTTCTTTGTTAAATCTGGTTTTTAGTGACTCGTGAATGCGTAGGGATTGTCTGTTAGATCAAAAGATATCAGAACTAGCTGAAGAATAGCCACACCTTTAGAAACATTCCATTACCCTGAGGGAGGTATCTCAATGGACGCCTGATGGCCCTAATAGAGGGGACGGCGCTCTTTGTTTTAGCCGTAATTACACGTTTCAAATACTGCGTTTTATAGAGGCCATCTTGACCCAAGCTTCCTTGATGTGGACACTAGAAACACACAGTGTGAGTACTCTCCAAGCAGAGGTTTGGGTTTTGGGGGTATTTTTAGTGTGTTTTTAGGCTTTTTTATTGGGGTTTCTCTTTTGCACTGAATTTTTTTTTCCACCAAACCCAACCTCTGCCGGCAGTCGAAAACTTCAATGGGCTATAAAACTAATCATTTCAACACATTTCAGTCGTTCTGCAAGGAGGTGTGAACCAGACACATGAATAGGCACAGTCAGCAGGAGGCGTGTGGCCCAATGAATGCCTTTTCGACTGCCTAGAAGTGTGATAATCTACCACAATAAAATGGATATCCCTAATGACAGTTTGATGGTTCCCGGGGAGGGGCACTATCGCCTGTTTTGAATAGGTTTGCCCCTCCCCGAGGTGAGTGCCGGCAGAGGTTGGGTTTGGTGGAAAAAAAAATTCAGTGCAAAAGAGAAACCCCAATAAAAAAGCCTAAAAACACACTAAAAATACCCCCAAAACCCAAACCTCTGCTTGGAGAGTACAGTGTGAGGTCCTACTGGACTCCTGTCAGCTACATGTGTGCTCTGTGTTACCCCTTCTGTACTGGCCTATAATGTAGGTAAAATTTATTTGCTAAGGACCCACTGACAATTTGTTGTTACAGGCAAGCTCTCACAAATACTCGCGCCCAAGTGTGGGCAGCGTGTCACAGTTTTCTGGCCCTTGCAGCGGAACTGGGGCTTGATAATGGAACGTCTGATCGACCGGTTGTTGTTGCATGCCCACTGGAGAGGCTGTAGCCATAGAAATAGGAGCTCGAACTGACATTATTTGCACACAAGGGCGACGCATACAGTCTCAAACACCGGGGACCGTGCAGATTAAACCCCACGTACCAACCTCGCAGACGTGACCAACGTAAGAAAAGCCTCCCGTCGCCAAAACTTCTAATGACCCCGGCTGGCTACAGGCATATGTTTGGCTTTGAGGACAGTGTTTTCCTTTGCTTTCTCCACAATGGCAGCTTGCTTCACCACCAGACTTCAAACCTTCACTTCCCACATTCCCTCTGTCGCAATGAACGACATCCAGAACTTGAAATGCAAAGAAGAAGGAATGTAAATCCATTGTGTAGCCGGACACCCTTTGTATTCCCCTGCTGCAAGCCCTCGGCAAATAGAATTAGCGAACGGTCAACCCACCACTGAGTTATTCTGCTGTACTGTATTTCACCATTAGCATACACACAAAAGTGAATAAACACCAACGCCGATTATCATCAACTAAGTCCACTACACACTCACACACACCAACAGGCTGGGGATGACCTGGGGAAAATTAGAGAAGCAATTGGCATGGCCTTGTAGCAGCCTATGTGAAACGCTTATTGCCAAATACATGTGATCCGAGATGTCCTTTGATCTTGAAAATTACAGGCCGAACAGCTTGGCCTGGCGAGTAACAATGGGTTCTGTTGCATATTCCTCCATTGTTTGCTAAATAATAGCCGGCCAACTGTAGTAAACATGCGTGTTTATGCGTGGCAACTGGTCGAACATCACCGATGGTTCCCCCCAAGCCGCTCGACCACGGAAAAGTGCAAGCCGATGCCACGTTTTAACTATCAGAAGGACGTGGTTGGAAGAGAATTCCTGCACTTTGCATACGTCATGTGTGAGGCTGCCTAGTTGTAGTACAGAAAGGCCCCGGGACCAGACTTGGCAGTGTTTGCTGTGGAAATGGAGCATCACCAATCTCTGCACTGTGACCTAGCAAATGCTACAGGCATGTCTGCCCAACACAATACAGGCAAACAGTCATCCTCTAATCCTGATGGAGAGACCTGCCCTCCCCTAATGCCTCTCAAACACACCTGGAACGTAACCCGATATGGGGAGTGTAATTCGACCCTTACCTGTACGATGCAGTGTCCGACATCTTCGGCTTCCGAGACCGTGGCGTTGTAGAACGTTGGATTGAAGATGGGTTCGTTGTCATTGAAATCCAAAAGCGTGATGGTGACTTGGATGGTGGACGACAACGCCGGGGTGCCGCGGTCCGTAGCATCGATGGTAATCCGAGGGGCAGGGTCGATCTCGCGATCCACGATCGCGCGCGTCGTGATCAAACCGCTCGCGGGATCCACTGTGAACCAATCCGAGTGCGTTCCAGGCGTTGACAGGATGGAAAACGTGATCTCCGCGTTGATTCCGATGTCTCGATCTCGAGCTGTGATCTGGAAGACTGAAGTACCAATCGGAGCTGCCTCAGACAAGGATGGTGCGTAGGATCCGACAAATTCTGGTGCGTTGTCGTTGATATCCGTTACCTCTAGCGTGATAGTTCTGTCGACAGTTAGCGGCGGTGCTCCTGAATCCTGCGCGATGACTCTGATCTGGTAGTTCGGTACGACTTCACGATCTAGCGGCCTTGCAACAACAACCAGGTAGATGATATTGTCTTGAGTAGTCAGTCCGAATCTGCCATCGCCGCCTTCGAGTGTGACGTTAACGTTGACGTTCTCACCGTTGTCGGAGTCCGAGACGGAAATTCTCGCGACAAAGTCCCCGGGTTCGGCACCTTCTGATACAGAAGCTGATTGGTTCTCGTTGAGGAAGGTGATGTCAATCGTCGGAAGGTTGTCGTTGACGTCGATGACATTCACAGACACGAACGCCGTAGTCCTTTCTGGCTGCGTCCCGTTGTCGCGCGCGTACACGATCAACTCGTGAACGGATCGGTCCTCGAAATCCAGCGGCTTGTTCACCGAGATGACTCCCGTTTCCGAGTTGATCGCAAACATTTCCTCCGGGTCGCTCTGTCGTCTGTCGATGCCGTAGATGATGACGCCGTTTTGTCCCTCATCTTGATCAGATGCTGTGACGTCGAGAACGCTAGTTCCTACGGTGGCGTTTTCTAGAACTTCTGCGGAGTATCTACTCTGCGTAAATATCGGCTGGTTATCGTTCACGTCTCCTACCCTAACTCTCACCGTGGTGCTGCCTGATCTGGGAGGGGTGCCGCCATCATAGGCGTAGATAATCAAATTATATTCTGGAGTGGTCTCTTTGTCCAAGGCATTGCTTACCACAAGTTCTGGGTACAAGACACCGTCCCCTCCCCTTCTGGCGTCCAATCTGAAGGCATTTCCGACGTTTCCAGAGTTGATTTCGTACCTCTGGACGCCCAAGACACCTTCGTCTGCATCTTGTGCCTCGTCAATGTTTCTCTTGACCCCGATGGGGGTTGATTCTGAGAGTTCTAACTCGTACAGATTCTGTGGAAAACTCGGGCTGTTGTCGTTTATATCTAGTACCTGAACTTTCACAGTCACTACCTGCCCCAGCGACGTACTCACGGCAAGGAGTTCGTAGAAGTCTCTAGTCTCTCTATCCAGTCTTATCCCGCTCCTTATAACTCCCGTGTTTTCGTCTATGCTGAGATGTTGTAGTAGTTCCGTGTCGCTAGGGTCTGGGGACAGGTAGAACGGGCCTGTTATGCCCGATGCCTCCACTATGTTTCCTATGTACGTACCTGCCGCCTGCTCCTCCTCCGTTTGGAAGGTAACCTCGTGAGACTGAGTGTTGGCAGGGTGTAGGAGGAGGGATAGGAAGGCTAGGAGCGTCCATGTAGGGGCCATGGCGGCCCAGGTAAGGGGTAAAGTCCGCCGGGGCATAGCGCGCGGGCGGGCGGTGTCAGCAGCACCAGGCTCCCGCCGGCGCTACAACCGCGGCTCGGTGCGGCTCGCTCGCTTCACGACGGCACGTCTCCCGACCGGGACCGCACCTCATCGCCGCCGGACGGGGGCCAGCGTGTCCCCGGGGAACCCCGTACGGCTGGCAGTCCAACTCCGGCCCGACAAAACAGGATTAAGTCGGGCGGCGATCGGGGGAAAGCCGAGCTGTGTGTACGATGTGTTGGTTTCCTATATCCCGGTCGGTAACAGTCTTGGCGTCCCCTGCAACCACGTATCCGCACACGATCGGAGGCTACTACGCGCGATTCCAGCAGTGTTGGTGCAGGTTTCCTATCGGAATATCCTCCTAGAATCCGCGTGAGGGTGTCCGTGTAGGTTGTTGGGTCCGTGGGGCTGCAAAAACAGGGTAAAATCCGTGAAAAAGAAATCAGTGTCGCGACTCCAGGTCCGAACGCGACCTCCCCACAAAACTTTTGAGCATGGACGGCCTCGCAGGGGGTCGTCACGTGACCCGCCGGACCGGTAGTGAGAATTTGACGCGCGGCGCGAAAAAACACATTAAACTGGTGAAAACGGGGTGTAAAAACGCCGGAATTGTCTCAGAAAAACCCAAGGGAGTACAAGGATACCCCTTTCATCAATCCGAACAACTTTTGTGATGGTAAATACGACAAGTCAGACCCGCGAAAGCTACTAGATATGCATTTGAATAGCTGTGTTGTCGGCTGCCTACTTGAAGGGCGGCATTACGTTACCTGGGTTTGAAAGGACAAACAAAAGGTCCCGGCAGCCGCCAGGTACTTGAGAAACGGTGTTCATGACTATTTAACATGGCCGCTGTGTTAAATCGCCGACTAGCGACTGGGAAGGTGTCATGCCAAGACGTGTGAATGGGCAGTGACAATGACTTGGAGTTCGCGCTATGCATGAAAATGGCGAGACACAAGAAATTGTTGTCTTTTATTTCGTCTTTCGCGTTGGAAGGTTTTGTTCTCTGACATTGGACAGTTATAATTTATTCCGACGCCTTGTTTTCGATAAAAGGAAAAGTCATTTGCGGTGGTGGAATCTTATAAAATTTATCTTCAGACTTTCGCATTGTTTCTTTCTGTGCCACTTTATTATATTTTCTCTGCCAATTCGATTTTAGATCTATGATCTCAAAAGTAAAGTTTTTTTAGAGCGGTATGGGCACCATCCCTTTTTGAAAATACATGAAATAGCGAAGCTTTACATTGGGGCTGTGTGTTTTGATAGTGTCAAACTGCATGAAACAAGAAGTAAAGCACGACTTCAGTTACTTCCGGGCGTTTGTTTGTATCGGCCTAGGGCAAAATACCGATGGCGGGAACTTCTGATACGTGTTAATGGTGTCGTAATTTCTGCCGAAATCAAAAGAGCGAACCGCGTTACTCGAACCGCCACGAGGTACAAGAAATACCAGGTAGGTGCTAACTGTTTCCTAACCTGGGTACCAGGCTGTTGCCAGGGCCATATACAGTTTAGCTCCTCGACTCCAACCTGTTACCATAGACCCTCAGTCACTTTCTCAGAGTAAACTGGGGGCTGGTCTATGTGTATGTAGAAAATACAGTAGGGGCACCATCATTAGATAGCTTTGAACAATGTCTAGAGTTAGAGGTTTAAGGGTTAGGTGTAACAAGTCGTTCGGTGTAATGTAGCCAGCTGCCGCCGCGCCGCGTGCATGCGAAGCTGGTGTGTTACGCCGAAAGGCGGTTATACCGGTTATACAGATAGATACAGATACATATGTACTGACCATGAGTATTATGGCATCGAGGCTAACTATTCCCATACTATTTCCATCCGGATTTTATGTTTGTCAGAGTTGTGAAGCGAGCTCCAGTGGCCGGTAACTCACCGTGAAATGCTGGCAGCGCTATCTCACGTCACATCAGAACACGATCGGAACCTCGGCACCGGGGGATTTCAACCCTTCACGGGCCTGACAAGACGATTCGTCACAGGGAAAAGGACATCTGTAAGACTGGAACGAAATGGCGGGAAAATAGTTACTCTAGGAAATGGATATCATGGATGGACTGGACTGTGAAAATGACTGTCAAACGTTTCAAGTACCATCCACCACTTTTCATCAGTGTCTGGATGCTTACCTGAAACACCCGACAGTTTTCAAAATCTATCTAGACCAGTTGCTTGATTAATTGTTTTCTTGTGTATCTGGCCCTTGATCTGATTTAGATCTACCTGGATGCCTATTAAATGTTTAACAGCGTTTGGTGCACTTAACTGATATATTTCTCGTATCTCGCTACTTCCGAATTCGAATTTCGGAACCACAAGATGAAGGAAACCGGACATATATAAAATTCTTGTAACTATTCGGCACGAGAAAAACGCGAGTTTATCAAAAAGGCACCGTGCCGTTTTGTTTCACACCTAATTCCACGGTTCTGGGACGGAATCGATTCTGTCCGCCGGTGACACGGCGGGAAACCCGCCTGGGTGCGATAACAAGGTCTGGCGCCACGGCCCGGGACACGGGGGTTCTACTCTCCAAGCATATACTATGATATAGGTTGGTGGGCAAGGTTGTTACCTATACGAGGGGTGTTCAAAAAGTTCTCGGCCTCACCTAGAAAATAAAGGCCAAACTCCTATTCTTTGGTATGGCTGTATACTATGACGTCTTACATCACTGTACACAAAAATTCAAATTTTTGTATTCATTAATGAGCACGTGACGCCCCGTGAAAATGGGGTGGGTGAGGGCAAATCACAAAATGGCCGCAACAGAAGCGTGTGCTGTGATCAAGTGTATCGATAAAAAAGGATGTCTCCTAATGACATCCATGAAGACATGGTCAAGACACTTGGTGATGACTCCCCTTCTTATTTAAATATAAAGAATGGGGTTACTAGCTACAAGCGCGGCAAGGAGAGCACAAAAGATGAACATAGGTCAGGATGCCACAAATCAGCACCATGGACAATCCAGTTGAGGCCACCCATCACATGGTAGTGAATGACAGATGTGAGACTGTCCAACATGTAGCAGGTTCTTTGGCCTGTGTTATGACTCAGTTCACAATGTTTTGTCGAACATCCTGGGGATGAACAAACTGTCTGCATGGTGGGTGCCTCGAATGTTTTTTGAACATCAGAAGTTAAACAGGCTGGACATTTCAAGGAACGAATTCAGTCCAATCCATGCAATTTTCTCAAAACATTTGTCACTCAAGATGAGCTGGGTTCACCACTTTCACCCCGAATCAAAACAACAGAGCAAACAATGGATGAAGAATTTTTCCCGCCCCCCCAAATAAGTTTTAGCGAGTTTCGTCCGTTGACAGGGTTTTTGCCTCTGTTTTCTGGGACAGTAAGGAAGTAATCATGATTGACTACATGCGAAGGGGTTAAAGCATCAATGGGGAATACTATTCAACAGAATTACGACATTTGAGGGCAACGATCAAAGAGAAAAGGAGAGGAAAGCACCGAGCTGGCGTGATGAAAATGCACCTGTCCACACAGCACAGGGGTCAGCGACAGCAGCAAACGAATTTGGTTTTGCAGTCTAACCCCACCCTTCCAATTCACCTGACCTAGCACCCTCGGACTTCTACCTGTTTCCTAAACTCAAGCTCCACTTACGTGGTCAACGTTTTCATGGTAATGGTGACGTCATCTATGCGGTATAGGCCTATCTGGGGGCTCCGGATGCAACCTTCTTCCACAAGGGGAAAATAAAGCTGGAACATCACTGGACCAAGTGAATTGCAGTTAGAGAGGACTATATTAAAAAATAGTGTAAGAAAAAATTTACTGCCCTGACGTTTTCTAGGTGAGGCCGAGAACTTTTTGAACACCCCTCGTATATGCCTCGTTTTTTTTCTGTCGGTACGTTGGGTACTAGGGGTAGCGGCAGAAAAAAACGTGGCATGTATAGAAAGGTAACAATTTCCCCACCAACCTATGCTTGGAGAGTAGGACATTAGACTTCAAGTACAGGTGTGGTTATATATAGCTCGTTTGTGCGTACTACTCAGTGAGCGTCTTTCAAGTCAGGGAGCTTCAAAACGCGAATTTTAAACTTCCTCTCTCGCTTAAAGCGTTTAAAACTGTGTCGAAAAGTCATTGAAGAGACGAATAAAGTGTCATTTTCAACCAGATTGGGCGGATGGGTGTAGGGTGGATCATAAAAATCTTATCCATTGACCCAATGATGTCTACAACCCTAACGACCTTCACCGTTATCGAAATGAGAAAGTTTGCAGGACCTTTGACCCGTCCGGTTAGCGCGCTCACCTGTCTCCACAACAGAGCGCTGCTGTGGCCCTCTAGCGGCGAGGTGCGGAGGTGCAACCACGCACGGTAAAATAAAATTTCTCGCACTGTTTGATATCTATTATGAAAACTGCACAAATATGATCATTTTAAAATATAAACTGGATGAACATATTTTAGTACGGTATTTTTTTTACAACTTTTGCAACAAAGCAAATACAACTGGTTGTCCTGACTGATCGTTTTGTGTAACGAAGCGTGTCAGAATTAAAGGCATGAGAAACCAAAACAAACAGCCAATAGCTTATAAATCACCATGAAAAAATCCGCCTCTGCAACACTAACAACCTGCAATCATCTCAGAAAGCCGGTATTTGTTGTTGGTCCCACACGCGGCTCGTAGCCTAGATAAACAATAAACAACTTGACAAATAACAACAAAACATCCCGGGGGATTCGCAGGTTTTGTTTAGCGATCGCTATTTGTTGTGTTTTGACTGATATGATATATTTGTGTCTCTCGGTTTGAAATGAGATTCATCAATACACATACTGCACGCTGTGGTCATTTGGTGGGAAGGGGGTCGGTGGTCTGATAATAGCCTCTACTAGGCTTCAGAGGCGACTGGAAAGAGTAGAAATTGGTCAAATAGAGAGATAGCATGTGACCAATGCAGAGGAGTTGGTCTTGAAAGCAGAGAACAGTACTCCTTCAGTTCGGACCAACTCCCCCAGCATGTTATTTCTCTATTTGGCCAATTTCTACTCTTTCACCACGCACCTCTGAAACCTAGTGCCTCGTAGTGGAGGCTACGGTTCTTCAGTACTTCTAAACATCCTACTACACGTGGTAGTTTGACTTTCTACGAGACCACACTTTTGTTGCGGATTCACCTATCCATCGCACAATAGGAATAAGCGAATGAAGAAAATAAGTTCAAACTTTATTGCAAACTCTTTCCCGAACATACAGTACAGGGCCAGTACAGTGTCTAGTTTGTAGATCTACCCAACGAGGTTTAAACTCTTTATCTACCTAACGTTTCTAAGTAGTCACATTACTGGATGGTTGACCTAGCAAAACAAATACACATCCCATACATTTGATGATCCACTGAATGAGCAAAATAAAAGGAAAACAAATACACATCCCCGTCCCCCCATCTCGGACCCTGTCATCACCTGTACAAATGAACAGGCGGAAAAAATAACAGACTCTCAATTATTTTCACTTCCTTTTTGATTAGCCTAGTC